GCTAACCACGCTGGAACGCACTGTATATGGTGTGAACAAGCCCAAAAGTATTTTTTGGACAATATTGGGAGCTCATTTATTGACTTCACAGGTTAACTGTAAATGCAAATTACAATGTAACCAATTTTTTTTTTTTTTGCACAAATATGTGGTTTATAAAGGAAATCATACACGCAGATAGTGTGTGCTAACAAAAATGTGCATGTGAACAGATAGGTGACCCATAGTATCGTCATAAAGTATCTCATAGTAGGAGATTAACCTTGTTTGCCATTTAGCAAATAGGCAGTATTATTTATTGTTGGCACATTCCCTAAAATTCTTCTGCCCCACACTGTTGATCTTGAGCCAGCCACCCTCACATTCCTGTGGTTCATAGTGTCATTTTTGAGGTTGAGAAAACCCAGATGGAGAGGCCCCAGGGGGCCAACACAGACTTGAATAAATAAAGACAGGTGCTGGAGAATGCTTTGAGGGCAGGGAAGAGATCATATTAGAGCAGAGTGATGTGGATAGTATCAGTTTAGCATTTTGGCCCATACAAACTCCGTGCAGAGGGCGTAATTCCATCCTGGACGGGCATAGAACTCCTGTGTTGTTTTGATATTCATCTGATGTCCTAACAGGGACTGGATATTGGTGCTGCTGGTAACCCTTGCTTGGGTATTTAAATTGGAATTTATTACCTACATTGATGAGCCAAATGTGTGATTTGAAAAAAACAGCAGAAAAAATCTATTCACATGATCTTCAGGAATTGTCTGAATTGAACAGTTATTAAAACACAATAAGGGATTAAATTAAAAAATCACTGGATGGACCTGTGTCTTTTTTTCAACCGTATGAACTATGTAAAGGTGCCCATACACCTTACGACCATCGCAAGACTTTTGTCTTGCGATGGTCGTATGCTTATTGAAAGCTCGTACGATCTGCCCACCTTGGACGGGCAGATCGTACTTGCGATCATCGAAAGTAGGATCTTCCGATGACCGCAATGCAGAACGGGCAGTGTGCGCGTGCGCACACCGGTCCGTTCCACAGCTATCAAACGAGCAGGCTAGAAAGCCGCCGACAATCGTACGATTCTCGGCGGGTTTTCAAGCATGCTGGTTCGACAAAAGACGTGCGACCGTACAGTAGAAACGGTCGCACGCCTTCCATACACTGTACGATTCTCGTACGATCGCGGGATTTCCCGCGATTCTCGTACGAGAATCGTACAGTGTATGGGCACCTTAACTGTATCATAAACCTAAGGCAGTTCAAACTGAGGGTATTTAATAAAATGCAGCTGAAGTTCTATGCAGTTCTCAATTACTCCTGTCAAAAGCGAATTGGATCACGCCCCTCCTACTTCCTGGGCCTCTTTTGGTTCTTTAATGTAATGGCTGGCCGAGGAAGTAAGCTTGGACTATCTTGCTATCTGCTTTTCAGATCTCCTGTTGGCACCCTAGGGAGCTCTAGAGCGTGGGTAGGCAGGTAGCCCGTGCTCAAATCCAGGAAACTGTTTTTTTTTTAATTTAAAGAACCAGTAACAACTGGGCCTTTTCTACTCTTAACAGGTTTACTTTAATGCAAAGCAGAGGTTATAAATTGTATTGTAGTTGCAGAATAGTACACTTTAAAAATTGGAAACAGGCAAGGTGCCCTTTTGCATTGCAATTCATTGTAAATGGCACCCCAAGGCACCTCATGCTGGGCGTGTTGCTCAGCAAAGCACAGTATAACAACCGTTTGCATTGCTGTGCTGTGAAAAAAACAGTATAAGGCACCGAACACACAATGCTATGCACAGCCACCAGAAGGTGTTGGGGTGCCATACAGAATGAATAGCAACACAATGCACTAGCTCACCTAGTGTGTGGTGCATTGCGCTATGCGATATTGTGCACTAAGCGCATGTGTACAAAGCCTTTTAAGCACAGTGATATCGTGTGTACCAGCCCTTAGTGTTATCAAGTCACTGAATTTTCTAGTGGTTTCTACTAGGCATGCAGTGATACCATTTTTTCCCAGACCAGAGTACTAGTACATACACCTTTCCTCAAGTACTCGCCAATACCAATTACCAATACCTTTTGTTTTTAGTGTCATGTGACAGTTTTTCTAAAACACTACAGACTAATGATTTTAGGACGGTGGTGGAGCACCAGGGCCCAGTCGCAGCTGCAACCTCTGTGACCCTGGTAGTTCTGCCACTGACTGGAAGCTGTAAAGGGACTACAAATCTCAGCAATAAATTATATAGCAATGCAGAATACTACCAGCTTTAGAGGATTATACATCTTAGCAATACATTATACAGCAAAACAATACCATCAGCTATAAAGGACTACAAATCTCAGCAATACATTATACAGCAATGCAGAATGGCACTGGCTATAGAGGACTACAAATGCCAGAAATACATTATACAGCAACAAAGAATACCATCAACTATAGAGAACTACAAATCCCAGAAATACATTATACAGCAATGCAGAATGACATTGGCTATAAAGGACTACAAATCCCAGCAATACATTATACAGCAATGCTGAATGGCAACTAGCTATAGAGGACAAGAAATCCCAGCAATGCATTATACAGCAATGCAGAATAATAGTAGTATTCTGCATTGCTGTATAATGTATTGCTGTTATTTGTAGTCTACAATAGCCGGTTGCCGATCAGCATTGCTGTATAATTTATTGCTGGGATTTGTACTCCTATATAGCTGATGGTAGTATTATAATACCATCAGCTATAGGGGACTTCAAATCCCAGCAATACACAGAAATGTAGAATAATATGTTGCTACATACTCTGTGCTGCCTGGGGTGCCGCCCTGATGTCTGCAGTGGAGGGTTTCAGGATGGGTCCAGAGGGACTCAAAAGAGAAAGATGTGCAGACAACGGAAGCACTGTAAGCAGCGCTGTGTCGGTCCCCAGAAAGCTGCCGCGAGGTCCCCAGCAAGCGCTGGACCTCAGGCAGCTGCTTCAATTTAATAATTTAAAGCACCGTTATCGGTGTTTAGTATCGGGTTATTTTCATGAGTACAAGTACTCGTGAAAATGCCCAGTGTTGGAAACGATACTGGTATAGGTATCGGAGCATCCCTAGTTTCTACCTCATTTTCTTTTGCTTTGGAATGAATGCACACAGAATATTTGCTGTTTACACTCCTGTAAGCCTAAAAAAATGTCAGTTTTTTATCACACAGCATGTGATCCTCAACCATTTTAGAGGACTCATCGCACCAGCAATGAAAAACTGACAGCTGTGTCTGCTCATCTAAATCATGTACTCAGCATTGCTATACCAAAAGAGGCATGCTCTGATTTGCAAAAGTAGCTCTTTTTAAGCTGAACTCTGGGATAAGCAAATAATGTCTAAATAACAGAAGTGTGTGTATTCTTACTACGCTATGGGTGTGCTTTGTGTATTTCATCCAGGTCTGTGCAGTAATGCAGTGTAAAACGTTGCTGCTGTGCAGGAGTTTCTGGTAATACAGACTAGTCACTGCTGCTCTCATCTTCACTGTGTGGGGTAACTTGTCTTGAATTTGCCCCCCTGCTGTAGTTTTCTGCAGGCAGGCTGTGGTGGATGGAGTCTGTTGCGTCCACCTCCCCACCACCAACACCAACTCTGATCTCTGCACAGTTTATGTGCAGCACAGTGATGATGTCACTGCTACATTTAAATGGCAATAACTGGTTTTGCAACTGGTTAAATAGTAATAACTGGTATTTTGTGGCTATTGAGGAATACATTTAAATGAATGTGTTTGGAGTTCAGTCTTAAATGAATGTTTATAGAGGAGCAAGCTGGCCTAGACTGCTTGAGAGATGAAAAAGAGGTGTGAGGCATGATATGGCAGTGTCTGCGATACTCTGCAAGTGTTTATTGCACGCCATGTCCCAAAATATTGTACTAAGGATGGGACATCTAGATTTACTTTTTTTGACTGGCTAATCCCTTCTTATTTATGTGCTTGTTTTTATTGCTCAAGCAATATATGGAAATTTGCATTGTTTAGTAAGTACATTTTGAATTGCTTCACAATGGAGCAATTTATAACTGACTGTCAAAGAAAACCATTTTTACCATATGTGTAATTTATAAACAGAAATATGGAAGTGTCCATTGCATGCACATTTCTTCAAAAATATTAACTTTTTCTATCTTGTCTGTGTCCCATTTGGGAGATTTCCCTTTACTCTCTCAGGGACATAAAAAGGAACTGAGGTTAAGGGCCCATTCACACCACATCCGGATTACCTCCAGACCACACCAGACTGTTTCCGGACCCAAAATGCATCCCAATGTATCCCTGTGCTATTTCTGGCCTCTGTTCCCACAAGCGCAGTCCGTTCCAGACCAGACCAGAAAAATACTGCTTGTCCTATTTTGTCTGGTCTGGAATGCACTGGAACGCACCTATAAGAGCATTTAAAGCTAAAAAAAACCCCATTCCAATCATGGTAAAAACATGGCAAAAAACGCAATGTACTATGTTCCAGATCTGGTCCTGATCTGGTCTGGAAAATGGTGTAAACCCAGCTTAAATCTCTCACAATTGAGGTGGTATCCCATTTAGCACTAGACAAGGTGCCATTTTTGGAAGATTCCCCCTCTTCTGCTTCATTGACTACCAGAAAAGAAATCACTCTTGGACCTGGTGACAAAGAGGGTTCATTTTTGTAGCAGAGATGCAGATTGCAAGAAAAGCCTGACAGAGGTTCTAATCATATCCTACTTTGAAACTAAAAGAAAAGGTTTTAGGTATAGATTTGCTTTAAACTAAGCCCAGAATAATACTTTTATTTTAGAAAATAATGTACAAAACAGACTTTACTTTTAGTTAGCAATAAAATCTAAAACTGTTGCCTGCGTCTTTTGCTTCATGTTTCTGTAAATATTGTTCAATTTGTCTTTTTTGTTTGTGAATGACATTATCTTGTTCATCTGTTCTATGTATTTTGAATGTCTAACACCATTTTCTTTTGCTTTTCAGACAACGTTGGCTCACATAATTGCCAAAAATACCAACAAAAACAATACGCGCTTTGTAACTCTGTCTGCCACAAGTACTTCCACCAATGAGGTACGAGAGGTCATCAAACATGCCCAAAATGAGCTGAAACTCTTCAAAAGGAAAACCATCCTCTTTGTGGATGAGATTCATCGTTTTAATAAGCTACAACAGGTAGTTTGTGGTTTTTACGTCTTAATCTCTAAAGCTTTATTTACACATCATTGAAACCTACAAATATCAGTTGTATAAACCAAGATGAAGCACTAGTAGTAAACAAGTATTCTTGAGCGATAGAGAAAACGTTTTTATTTTAGGTGATGGGTACAGAGATAATTTTTTGGGGAATGCGTTCTCCTTGTGAGTTCACTGATATAGTTAGTATTAATGCAAAGCCGGACAAATCCTAGGACCCAGGTAACCAATTCGCCCTAAAAATTATGAGGCTTTCTCTAGTTGCTGTGCATGGAGCTGGCTCTTAAAGAAAACCCTGCTGACTCCTTGACTGGACAGACCGGCTCCTGAATTCCATATTAATTTGTCCACCCCTGTATGAATATGTTTTAACAGCTAACACAACAATTTTCCAAATAAAGGAACCATCTCCAAAATAATAGGAGCCAGCAACATTGTATTTTTTTAAAAAGTATGGTTTTAGCGAAGAATTTTTTTTTTCAAACTGACTATGCATAAATAGAGAAAATAAATCTATATATGCATTAGTCTGCAAAATCTTTGACATGTTGATCTCAAAACTAGGGAAGTTTCTTAAAATAGTATTATCATGCAAATTCATAAGTGTAGTGCATAGTGTGCAATAATATAATTCAAATAGAAAAAAGTGTGCAAAAGACCCTAGACCAAGACCCTAAAGAAAATGATGAGAAACCTAAATTTATAGAAGGGCAACAGAAGGGAAGCTGAAAGAGGATCTGAAAGCGATACTAAGCTTGAAGGTGAAAAGGACGGCAAAGCAGACTCCATAATGTACCTAATGATCATCGGAAACAAGGCACTGCATAGAAAACTCCCCACTTCTAAAACAATGACTTCCATCATCATTTTACTTTGAGATGATGTAAGGGTTGAGTTGAGGCATTTTTGGCTAGTGGAGGGTGGACCGTTCCATTGACTAAAACAAGCTGAGGCCGTCAATGATTCAATAGCCAGGGGTCTTGTCTGGGTCCTGCTGCCAGATAAAGAAGTGTCCCAAGGACAATAAGATTTTTTTGTAAAACTGTTGGGAGTGTGCTACTTATTGGCCAGCTTTGGGAATGGTGGCCTGGTAACCAAGTGACTTTTTTTTTTACAGTTGCCACCACAACCTTGCAATCATGATTCGCCCAGCCCTCAATGGTTAAATTTGATGCGGTAGGAAGGAAAATAGCACATCCTATCGCTTTTCTCTTAATCGCTGATTTCAAACCTTAAAGAATCAAGCAGGAATGCAAGCAGTGCTCAATGGGTTCAGTTTACAGCAAATGTAAAATGTCTTTATTAGAATTGTCAAGGTGCTCCCATATTTTTCCCTGACAGGTTCGCTGTCGAGAGATTTTCCCATTGTTAATTGAAATTTCATAATTGCTGTTGAGCTAACGGACTTTAGGTTATTCCCTATACAGAGAATTAGTCTGCTCAGGAGGCAGATTTATTATTGACAAATCATAATGAGAATTTGCCTTGCCTAAACTTGTATTTATAACTTCCCCGTTGTACTTGCTTGTGATTTATTTCTATAGAAATGGCTGTGCTATACAATGCAAAGCATTATATAGGAATAGTATTGACTTTGGGACTTACCTAATGGAAGCAGTCTGATGCAGAGACTTGATGCACAGGGTCTTGTTTTACAAACGTAGGTTGAGATAAATATCAAAATAGCCACAAATATAAGGTGAGTCAGATGTGCCACTAGAGCACGTCATACTTTATTTGGCCAGATGAGAGATTATTAGCCATAGGTATGTTTAACCAAGGGATATTAATGGCATGAAAGGTGGAGGCTGCGGTTACTGACTTGTCATTTTGCAAATGCTGATTGCCTGGTTGTCATACTAACCATTTTCCTCACTTTTTTCTGACTGTCTTGATATTCATACTTGTTTCATATCACTGACTGAAAGTATTGGAGCCAGAGGGTCAGCAGAAAGCTGGCAATTTTAATCAGCATTGGTGACCTCCATATTTCTTTTAGCAAAGGTTTACTTTGTACTTCAACTAACAGTTTAATGTGCAACAAATGTAGGATGTACAAGTAATCACTGCATGTTATGGGGTTTTGGTGATAAACTGTTACACACTCAGTGTACTTTTATAAACATTTGTGATAAGAACAAGGCACATCGTTTATAAGGATGGAGAAGCACAGATCTACATGTGTTGGCAATGTCAAAGCTGCAGTGAATGTGATGCTTTCTAGATGTGTTGTCTCCAGGATTATAATCGGCTTAATTTAGAATGTTATTGCAGATGTTTTCCCACATAGACTAACCTTATTAGATTAGTTAATGGATAATTGTTTTTGTTTATGTGCAAAACTAGATTGGCTTTGAAAGTGCCCCCTATGGTGCAGAAAATACTTAAAACAAATGTTGTTTTTAAAAATCCTTTAAATCCTCAGTGTATAAGAGTGTTTTACAAGTGGTAGTAGCACCTGCCTCAAGATTAGTGTGCTATTCCTGATCAGTAGAGGCACATTGTAAGCGCTACTGATGCTTTACTTGAACGTAGAACTGAATCTTGACACACTATCGAGTGTACGGCACAAGTGCACAAACAGCGTTTACACTGGAATGAATGAAGGGTCTGGATTATTTTGGAGAAATGTAAATGCTTGTAGAACATTGCCATGTATATTAACTAGCTGAGAAGTATGGAAGCTGTCACTTAAACACTTAGGGTTGTTGTGCCAGGCTTGCAGGGAAGGAGTAGAAGGATTTTGTTGGATTCTTTTTTTTTTTTTTTAATCCCTCATAGTATGTCAGCTATGTGCACAGTTTAGTCTTGCCTTCCCCGCGGTTTCATATCTAACTAATAAACAATTGCCTTGTTCTTAATTTTAATTAGCAGAGCTCTGGTTCTGTGCTTTACCTGCAATGCAAGGAAAGGTGTAGCGCATTCATTTCCAAATAACCCGTTTGAAATGTGTACTCACTCAGGGTATGTCATATGCTCTTTCTGCTTTCCTCCCATCTCCAGGACACTTTTCTACCACACGTAGAGTGTGGGACAATCACTCTAATCGGAGCAACAACGGAGAACCCTTCGTTCCAGGTGAACAATGCGTTATTAAGCCGCTGCAGGGTTATCGTTTTGGAGAAGCTTTCTGTGAATGCGATGGAGGCTATCTTGAAGCGAGCTGTAGATTCCCTGGGAATCCAAGTTCTAAGAGAGGATGAGCAGGCTGAGTGCAGTATCAGCGATGCTTCAGAGTAAGTACTAGAGCAAGAGGCAGGCAGTGGCACAGAATAAAAAACACAAGTGTCTCATCTGTCAAAGGGACAAGAGAGGGGAGGGTGCAAAGGGGGAAGGTGGAGCAGTAACCTATTATAGCAGTCTAAAAATGTCTACAGATTGCTGATCCTCCTTCTACATAATGCTGCTATTATAAAACCCCAGATATTTTCTATTGTTTTTACCAGTTTTTACATATTGGTAGATGCTTCTAGCTTTTATCATTTTGTTTTCCTTTATTTAATATGCTAGATTTTGTTCTCCTTTTAAAACATCTTCAAGAAAAATACAGCAAGTCCAGTTGCCTTGACTTATTTTTTTACAGATATCCCTTAAAATGTATTTCCACTTCTGCAGTCAAATTTGGGGAAACCCTGCTATGTTTGGTTTGTACTTTTAGTCACACAGCATACATAAAAATAATTAAAAAAAATATTTCTTACCTTTTAAGCTCATTACACATGTTACATTCTGACTGTACAATCTCTGTTAGATCTAACTACACGTATATTCTGCAAGGGATGCCTGACAATATGTAGATTGATTGGATAGATTATGTCTGACCTCATATTACATAGTTTTGGTAAATCTAAATGTGATTGTAGAGAGATTGTATACTTAGATTGTAATGTGTGTGGTGAGCCTTAGATGTCTCTGTGTAGCAGACCTTTGCAAGCTTCTCTCCATTTCAATGTGACAGGAAATGCTGTCTGTCCTCATAGAAAGACTAGGGACACACTGAGCTTCCCCTCATCAGCGTACAATCTTTAATCCTTAATGAGTGCAGACAGTATTCAAATCTAGTGTGCAACTGATGAGATCTGCCAGCACAGTACCGGCAGGGTTAATTAAGGTAAAGATTTACTTCCCACCCCCTTGCACTTTAGAGGAAAAATGAGTGCAGGGAAAAACTTTTCTTTCAGAATAGAGCAAGTAATGTGTAAGCAGAAATTTGTATTTTATTCTATGTGAATGGGAACATGTAACAAATATAACATAGGTGTTATCCCCATTTGGTTGTAAAACTGGAAATACACTTTACCTTTGTTGTTTTTTATTGTATTGTTTTTGTTTTTTAATACCACAACTTGTATGTAAATATTTATGACTCTTTTTAACTTAATCCATTTTGATAAATTTTAATATTTTCAGTATTGACAGCTCTACAGGGACCAGTGGCAGCAGAATATCATGAAGCTGTGCTCATTGTAGAGACCTTAAGGGAGTAGAAACCTTAAGTGGTGTTGGATTTGTTTAAGAGCATTTGGGCTACGCTTTCAATTTAAATAACACCATATCAACCTTAAACGTTTTTTTTTATATATTAAGAGGTCATTGAATGTCATTTCTAATCTCTGCTTCCCAGGTTTCAAAATCATTTGAGGATAAAAGCAAACAAGAATACTGATGTTTTTCTTTTAAATAGCTGTAAAACATGGAGTCAGATGCTGGTATTGACAAAACACAATGGGGTTCATTTATTAAAGAAGTAACAAAGTTTTTGTTAGTAAATAAAAGGAAACTGCACACTTTCAAGAGACTTCATGGGGTTGATTTACTTATTTTTTAAAACTTTTTTTAAAACTTTTTAAATATTAGCTATAGGAATGACCACCTTTGCCTGAGGCTGTTGTTGTTCTTTTTCTTTAAAATCTTTTAATTCCTCGTTTTCAAGTGGGTCCCCGCAGCGCTCTTCCCCCCGCCCCTTGTACGGGTGCCTCCATCGGCTAATGGAGGCCCCCGTGCCCGCAGTGGCTGTGTGCGTCCATAGACACACACAGCCCTGTGGCAGGCCACTCCCCTTCTCTCTTTGATGGCAGAAGGAGCCTATGGCTCCTCTGCCATCCGTATCCTCCCCCTGCAACCAGGAAGTAAGGGGAATGGAGGATCACTTCGGGACTAGCGTCTGTGAAAGGTAAGTGTGGGGGGCACTGGGGGGGGACTGGGAGAGAAAAAGATTTTGGGAGTTTTTTAACGGAACGCAGATAATGCATTAAGGTAAAAAACGCCCAGACCTCTAAGGCAAATAGGCTGTTCACTTTGGAAGGTAATGTTTACTTTGCAGATACATTTTCCATTAGCTTAGTAAATGTGGTAAAAACACACTTTGTGAAGAATACATAATGACGTGCAGGGTAAGAAAAAAGACAGTATTTTTGCCCGCACACAATTGAATGATGAAAGTCAGCAGAGCTTCACCTCATTCACTAAGCTAAGGGAAAGTTCCCTTGCAAAGTGAACAGCCTATTTGTCATCAGTAAATCAACCCTCATATCTCTTCATGAGCAAGGTAAAAAAACAACTGAGTTTTGCTAGCACATGATTGGGTACTCAAAGTGAACACAGGTTTACCTTATTTGCTAGCATTTAGTTTGCAAAAGTCAACATCCTCTATGTCCGTTGTAAATCAGCCCCAGTAACTTAAGGGGAAGCTACACTGAGAGAATTCTGGAGGTGACCATTACTGATCACCTTTTGGAAATCCTGGTTGCTGGCTTAATTAGTTTCCAATTCACTAAGCCAGAACAAGCATGCAGGAAGTGAAGTCGGAGGAATGCCAGCATTCCTTATATAGATACTTATACCTGGGCCAGTGAGTCAAAAAGTGTTTGAAGTCATCGAATCATCATGACAGCTCGTACACTAGCATTTTTAGATGGAGAATTAGCTGTGGTACCTTACGTTGTTCCTTCAGTACTGGTATATTTAACTGTAGGGAATTTGGGAAGTGTGAGAATTATTACAAAGACTTCATCTAATCATTAAGATGGTGAAGTATTAAAATTTCAAAGGAGTCACTGACAACCTAGGACCCCAGAGATGGCCATGAGCAGATCTTACTTGGTTTATTATTGGAGCATGTTTGCTTCATGTACCCCTATCACTAAGCTGCGCATAGTCGCTTTTATTTTAAGAGGAGCTGGCCTGTCAGCTCCTTTTGAGAACTATGAATTAGGTGCTGCACAAAAGAAGTGTACCATCATAAAATATGATCTGATAAGAAAAAGAGATATAGAATGGTGCTGAAAATAACTACTGTATATAACTTCAGAATATTATTAGAAATGTAAAATGTGTTAAATACAATAATCGGAATTTAGATGATTGTTGACATTTTAGTAAATTGAAGTTTCATCTAAAATATTTTTTTTTGCATGCTGTCTTATCATGCAAATATTATTTTTAGCTATAATACAGTAATGCATTAATCAGACATAAACGTATTCTTACAGAAATATCCCAATGTTTGTCTTGACATAGAGATGTGTGTCATTTCCCACCATCCACGTAAACTGGAAGATCACTAAGGGAAGCCTTTGCATATGTTGTGAAGGCAACACAGAATGTTATTGAGTGTGGAGGTATCATGTTACTGTATGTCAAGAAGGGATTCCCTCAGCTCTTTGAATTTCTTTCCCTTCACACTCCTTTGTGCCAGCACTCGGTATATCAATCATTGTCGGCTGATAGACTCCATACTTTTTTAACCACAAAGAACAAAATGTGACAAACAAGGAACTGTGCTTGTTTTTAATGGCAACTGGTTAGCAAACTTAGCCCTTTATGACCTTGGGTATACATTTTCTCTGATTCATGAAAAATGCACATTTCAGATGCTCCCTATTTTCATTTGGGTATTAATTCTAAATCAAAATGTGATCACTGGCTTTGCAGACGCATTCAGAACATTAACATTTAACTTGGCTTTGTGTTTCAAGAGCCCCTTGCATACATGATGAGAAAAGCAGAAACATAAAGATTGTCATTTAAAGTACTGTATATGTGAACCCTGGCAATGAATTCCTCTTGTCTGCTCCCTTTTTGTCTGGTAAATATACCATTACAAGTGTTTTGTTATATCTGTTCAATCAAGTGCAAACAATGATCAAAACCTGCTGATCCTGCCAGAAATCCAGTGTTGTTCTGTGCCCTGTGCACTCTTCAGTGTTATCTCAAACAATGTTATCATGGCATGTGTTATGATTACCAAACACCTCCTTCCTATGTTATAGAGAAGAGGAGAATGAGATATGTTCTGTAATCCTGACACTTGCTGTCCTTAGGTGACAATGCTGCTTATTCATAGAGAAAGTATAGTGAGTGTGTGCTGTTACCCTAAGAGCCAAAAGTGTGTTTGCTGGCAGAATCGGCAGGTGAAAGTAAAGGATTAAGAATGAAAGAAATCTAATTCAGCCACCACATAAAGGACTGTTAATCTGCAATATATATATATAGTTCATTTTTCAACAAAAGTGGGCTATTTAGGTTACAACTTTACCGCTTTCAGCTTTACAACTGCCCAATTCTGGCGTGCCCAATTAGTGGCACGCTACAATGCAATTTGCACAGTACAGCATGTTGGGTGTGTTACCGTGCTCGCCTCCAGGACTTCACTAGAGTCTCTCCCATCCTCTGGAACTATTTACCCCAACCTGTCCCTCTGTCTCCCACTCTGACTGCCTTTAGGCGATCCCTTAAGACTCATCTCTTCAGGGAAGCCTATCCCACCACAACCTAACCGCTCAACCATCACATTCTCAAACAATTCATCCCCACACAGCTACCTCCTCATAGATCACTTGTCCCTCCCTTTTAGATTGTAAGCCCTCAGTGGCAGGGCCCTCCTTACGATCTTGTCTTGAATTGTATTGTGAGTGTAATGTCTTCCTTATATTGTAAAGCGCTGCACAAACTGTTGGCGCTATCTAAAGCCTGTATAATAATTATAATACTGGTGCGTGGAATTGTAAATGGGCCCTTAGGGTATGTTAACGGACATCTCTAAGGCTTTGGTCGGGGCCTCAATGCTGTGTTTGGTTGCCTCTGTCAGAAAAAAGCAACATACAGTGGCTTGCAAAAGTATTCACCCCCTTGACATTTTTCCTATTTTGTTACATTACCATCTGGAATTAAAATGGGCCTTTTTGGGGGGGTTTGTATCATTTGATTTACACAACATGCCTACCACTTCGAAGAT